CCCAGCCCTACATTCGTACATCGTCTGCCCACCCCCTCACCTCACCCTCTCCACCCTCCATCTGCCCCAGTCTCTCGGTCACCCCCAGACACACTGCTTCCCTTCTGTTCCTTCAGCTGGCCAAGCTCTTTCCTGCCTCAGGCCCTTTGCGCAAGCTGTTCAGTCTGCCAGCTCCCGTCCCATTCCTCTTCACCTAGTTAACGACAACCAACCCTCAAGTCCCTGGTTAAATGACACTTCCATGGGGAGACAAAGCCCTTTCCTCCTATCATCAGCTTTCTCAGATGACTGTGGGGTCAGTGTCTGGGAGTAGGGCGGAGCTCATCGATCTTGCTCAGCAGGGGATGCCGGTGCCCAGCACAGCGCCTGCGCACAGCCAATGCTCAATAAACAGCTACTTATTTAAGCAGAGTAACAGCTGCCAGTTGGAGACCACTTGCTGCTACGGGCTCAGACTCCATGCTCCACACATGGGGAGGATTAAGCCATGAACCCTCTCAACAATCCTATGAATCTGAGCCTATTTATCATCCCCATTCCACAGCTGAGGAAACTGAGGCACAGAGAGGGAAAGCAACTTGCCTTACATCACTTAGCCAAGGAGTGGCAGGGCCAACTCCTGGACTCGCATGACTTGGGAAAGCAGGAATGAACACGCCCTGAAAAGGTCCAGTTGTCCCTTCTACCTTCTCAGCTCTGTCCAGAGGACACCTGCACCTGCCTGGCCCAGTGCAAGCCTGGCATCCAGGGGAGTTCTCAGCATTGGCAGCAGGAGGCAGCAGAGAGCCTGGGTCTCATCCCCTCCTTAGCCCCAGTCCTGCCCTAAGACATGGCTGCGGCCTCCTCTCTGTGAGAATGGCCTTAGCTTTGGGACAGTCAAAAACTAAGGGTGACATGCCCCTCTCCCAAAGTGGTGGTGAGGATTAGCAATATGACGTATGTGAAATACCACGGGAAAGGAACTTGACGAATACTGACTACCGGAGACGGCACGCACTCCGGCAGGCAGCTGGGTTTTGCATCCGGGCTCCTCCTTCCCACCTGTGCCTGGGTTTTCTCTTGTAAAATGGGGATGAGACCAGAATGGAGTCACAGCGAGGATTAAATGGGTTAAGGTGCGGCAGGCATACGGTAGGGTCTCTGTGAGTGCTTGCTGTTATTACTAGCAGTGCTACCACTGTTATTGCTGTGGGACTCCCTGGCCAGGCCCTCTCTGCTCGGGTTCATACTACCCAGCTTTGAGCATGCTGGTGTCCCCTCTCCTTGTCTGCCTCTGGTCACTGTGTACTCCCGAAGGGAGGTGGGCTGAGGATCCTGAAAGTACCCCGCAGGAGCCAAACCCAGAGACAGGGGAAGATTCGGAAACCTTACAGAAGGGGAAACTGAGCTCAGGGAGGCCCATCTGGACATTGCCTGGTCTGGTTCCAGAGTTTGGTGGGGTCTCAGTGACGAGCAGTGTCGACAGAGAGAGGAAGGAGGAGACTAAGAGAGGGAGGCAGGGAAATTCAGAGGCAGGGACAAGAATGTGGCGGGAGACAGACGGGAACAGAGAGAGCTCGGCAAAGGCGAGGGCAGGGCGGAGGGTCTGAAGCACCCTACCTGCGGGCCTGGCGTCGGGGGCCCGGGTGGGGGGCCCCGGGGTCTCCAGCGCAGGCGAGACGGAGAAGCGGGAGAAGCACAGGGGGGGCCCTGGCGGGGGGAGGAGGGGGAAATCCTCCGCCCATTCGAAACTGCCTCCTAGCGAAAGCGGGTGAGGGGGAGAGGAGAGGACAGGTCAGACCCTCAGACGCGCCTGAAGCCCGCCCACTTCAGCGGCAGCCCTCAGGCCCCGCCCCTTCCC